TAGAATTTTCTGTTTGGGTGGCTTTTTTAACCAGGAAGGGGTGCCTAGCGGGGCCTGGTGGCTCCCCCGGGGACCCATGACCTTGGGTATAGTCTAACTTACAGTACCTCTGAGGATACTCGGTTTGTACTCGACCCTCGTTGCCTTTCCAGGTTGGTTTGTACAGAGCTCGTGGGCATCACCTCTCCCAAGCCCAAAGCCCACCTAGCACCCACCTAGAGACCTTCCCATATCATTTGTCAGGTGAGCTGGCTGGCCACCGCGCACCCACTGGTGCCACCTACCTACTTGGAACAAGTACTTTTAGCAACCCTCAAACCCACTTTTTGGCCTCAGCAGCTGACGCCTAAAGGCCCCTGTCCGACTTGAGCCATGCAGCCCACCAATAATACTACTAACTCCAATTGGTCAACCTCCCGTCAACCACCCATGTGTTCAAGGTCGCCTTACCGAGTCCAAGTCTGAGGGAACATTGTCTGTAGGTACAACCACCCGTGCAGCGTGACCCGACGATCTTAATGCGCCCCAGCATCCACCACCCCAGTTCCGATATGCGGGCTTTAAGCGAAGTCAGTCCATGCCATTGGGCTGCTTCTTCTCATATGGACACGCGCCCGCAGCTGAAGTAGCGACAATTGCTGTCCATCTTCGACCTGTTCACTCTCGTCGTCGTCGCAGTCTCAGTCACCGTCACCAACCTTTTCCCCTCCCACCCACGTCCTCATTGAACACATCAAACCACTATCTTGTCAGCTCGACTGTCATCTCCCTCGTCTCTTGCCCTGTCGTCCACCTCCAGTTCGTCTCACTCAGCTCGTTCACCGCGACTATCCATCGTGAACCGTGCTGTTCGGTGAGGTTCCCTTCAGCTTGCGACTCGACCGAGCGACATCTATCCAGCCCTCAGAGTTCCACGAACTGCGTATTAGGCCAGTCAATCGGAGACTGCGTCGCACAGCGACCTGAATCGGTGGCGGAGAAGGCTTCACCGCCGTTGCAACGAGCCTTTGCTTCCAAATCCCAACCTTGTCCCCTCCTATATCTCGGGCGCATTTTCAAGTCTCTGCCTCCATGGTCTCATGGCGGAGACATGACCGATTCCCGTCTTTGACTCGATAGCTTCCAATGGCCCCGCCAGCCGTCCTGACGCGCCGCAATGAGAGCGGCACGGTTGGCACAGGAGATGGCAACTGGCGAGCAATTGCCTCGGACGAGGACTTTATTCTGGAAGGATGGTCTGAGGGCTTCATGGTCGGCGCGCTCGTCATTATGGCATGCATTACCATCGCAAATATGAGGAGGGGTGTTCTCTTGCACAAACTGATTTTGATCGAGGTAAGTTTGGGTTTATGGTTGTGGACTTGCTCCCCCCGAAAATACCTGGTATGTAAGGCTGACCCAGCAAATTCGCTCGCCTCTAGCAACTTGCGGCACTCTCACATGGTAAGCATGTTGGCGCGAACCGCGCGCAGGCTCCTCCAACCTTTCTTGTGACAGACGGGTTAATTCAGGGCTCATAGGAACGTTCTGTTTCATGGACTTCTCGGGTTATGGGTGGTATTTGTCGGCGACCGCCACCCTGTTGTACATGTCCTGGATCGTCCACAACATCGTCGCCTGGATGAAGATCAAACCTTTCTTCATGGACTCGCGAAGCATGTTCAAGCCTGAGACGGGCAAATGGGTCCGGAGGATATACCTGGGGACCTTGGCCCTTACGATTCCTTTCATCTGTTGGCAGATTTCGAACAATTTTCGCTTCTTCAACAACATCAACGACTTTTACGTCAAAGTCCGCCCTTACGAGCCGCTCATGCGAGACCCGTGGTGGGTTTTTACCTGTCTGACCCTGTTCTATGTCATCAACTCCGTGTATGGGACGGGAGTCTTTGAACTCATCAAGCGATCTCCCCGCTTCGGAATTCTCCTTTGCGCCATCTGTTTCTCCCTCATCTTCACGGCGGTGGACATTGCTGCAAGTATCCACGATTTCACCGGTAGTATTGACGGGTGTGTGCTCCTCCTCCACGCTGCAAGCTGGTTCGTGATCCGTGAGCTGACACAAGGCTGGACAGGATCAATCCGTGGTGGAAACTGAGTTTGGTATTCAAGTGCCTGACGGATACAATCATGCTCGACGATTTCAAGACCGAGCTGAAGCGTCTCGGCATCCGACGCATGCGCAAGGACGAATTAAGGAGGCATAGCTTTGCCCTGGTCGGCGATCCCAACGACTACAAAGAAGGAGATGATCAAATGGAATTCTCCGACGCTTTGAACACGAATCCTCTCCAATTCCAGACGATGCACACTCTGGATGACAGTCCAAGAAGCAGCCCAATGGGCCGTTTGCGTCAAGATTCAATCACCAAGTCACCAACGAACGAGAAGGAGACCATTGGAAAATCGGGCAAGAAGATCTCCAAGCTGCCGACCCTGAAGAACTTCTCGTTTGCGTCCGCGCCTCGCAAGAAGGTCCGGATCCAAGATCCCGAGACCGAGGGTCAAGAGGGAGACTCTCCTCCTCCTGCTCCCCCCGCTGCTGACCGCCTGGCCGATATGAGACGAAGTCTAGGTGTTATCGACTACCACGGTCGTTGAGAGGAAGCCCTTACCAATGTCCGCAGCAGATGCCACCAATATCTTACGCGCTCAATGAATTCACGACGTCATGTCTTGTATCAACATTGAAATTTCCAGAGTGGGAAGACTGTGTACATAACTTCAGCCATATTGAGGTATCGACTCGACTCGGGCCACCATTGGTGCGCCCGATCTAGGGGAATCCATGTTTTTTCCCAACGTGAAAAGCCCGATGCGAAATCTCGAACCTGTGCCTTCCACATCGCCTGCTGCTTCTCTGCTGAGCCGGCCTCACTTGCCAACCTGCTCGATGACTTCACTGCTTTCCGTTGACATGTCCGACTTCGTTCTTGAGGAAGCAGCTGCTTGGTCCTCTGCCGCAGGTCTACATATATCCCACGGCTTCGACCATCCATCCCGTCCAATTCTCGTCCCATCTCCACCACTTCAGAGGCATTGATTTGTGACATTCAGGTATTCGATATTGTGCATACTAAATCGTTTCATACTTCATTTGCAGCTTTGCTCCCTGCCACTTCCGACGCTCGCCTCTGTTGTTTTGCTCCTCTCACCGTCTGTCTTGCGTCTCGCTGCTCGGCTCACCACCAGCACATCCGGGTTTGGCTGCTCTACTGTCGCAATGGCTACTCCTCCGAGGTTCCCGTCACTCTCTCCTGATCAGAGTCAGATTTCGAGCTACGAAGCGGACGGCATCGAGCCAAACAACACAGACACCGATGACTTTCAGCGTGGGGGCGAAGGAATGTCATCACGTCCACTTTCAGAGATTACCTTGGTAGGAGCAAGCCGTTGCTAGCATCGTCATGCTTGCTGATCTTCGACCCACAGGTTGATAATCCGCCCCCCTTTTCTATCAGCCAGATCGACGGAACCGACGCCCTAGAGGCCGTCCGACGTCCTGTCCACTTTCGCATCGACGAAGACCACCAAGCCCGATTGCATAGAGCTCTTTTGCGGAAAAGTATGCGACCTTGCTTGAAGACTATTGCGAAAAAGGTCTTCTTCCTCGGTTACTTTACCTCCAATGGCGCTATGATGATTCGCAAGGCTATGATGACAGCCCACCACACACAAATGCAATTCAGCGAGGCCTTGGGGTGGACGTTTCTGCATTTCATGATGCTGATCGTCTTGCTGGTGCGGTGTGTTTGGCTCGACATTCTCTCTGCCCCGATTGGATTGTCAGGCAGTGCCAGGGTTGCTGCTGCGTGGATTGGCACCTCGCTTCTGGCAATCGGACTCGGGGGTTTGCCCATTTTCTTCATCTAGTGCATGTTGTACGATGGCCCGATGCCTGGCTCAAGTGCCTACTAGGACATGCTGTTCTGGCTTGAGCCACCGAGATGAGCAAGATTATGGTTGAGGGCTCATGTTGTGATACTTCTGGCTGTGGAACTCCTGAGTTGGTCAAGCAGAAGCAGATGAGGCCCTGGGCCTATAATGGGCTTCAATGAAAGGTATATGAGGCGTGCTGTCCACGGGTCGAGAAGTGAAGGGATGTTGGTGCTCATTCGCTGTCGAACGGTATCTAAAGAAATTGTATTCGACTGTCTTCTGGCGTCTCTTGCTTGTTGGGGTGACTTGTCTCTCTCTCTCTCTCGTCAGCTTACGCGCATACGCTTTGTAGTTTGCTCATCAGATTTTGCCTTGCCTTCATCGTTTGTTCTGCTCTTCTCGTTCTGTACATGGACCACGCTAAGCGTATTGTCTAGATGGATGGGATGGGGCATTTGGCTGATAGGGATACGGACAGACCAACAGGACAGAACAGCACCACGGGTCGTCTGTGTCCTTGTTCTTTGGAGCAAGCCCTCGAGGCTGTACACTGTACACTGTCCGGTGTCCGGGCCCTGGCTGGTATTCACTAATTGGGCACAAGACACAACTACTAGCTGGGCACATATTGTGTCGACATGAAAAGCAATGGAACAGAAAGGCTTCATGTGATGAATCTGGATTGTGTAAACTAAGCTAAAACTAGGAGATACCATGCAGCCAGCATCTGGACAAGGTCCGAGCCGTAGAATGGTTGACAGTCGCCGGTAAACTCAAGCGCACCCTCATCAGAGGCATGGACGAGAATACCTGCTCGACTGTGCTTTTTTTTTTGTAAATTTCCTTTTTTTTTCCCCACAAAAGCAATCAATGTTGAGCTAAGAAGAGCCCGTTGAAACTAGGGCTTCGCCTTTTGTTCAGAAGCAGAGGCTTCAACTGCTGTAAGAGCTCCGAAGCACCGTTCGTATGTTTGGCCCGTATGGGTTCGGTGACTGACGCATGGCAGTCATCTGGCTGTATCGTACTCGGACAAAAGAGTGGTAAGGTGGAAGCAGGCTGATCTGCAGGGTTCCATCTCCAGAGGTCAGACCGTGTCTGTCTTGGTGACTCTGAGAAGAAACTCAGATGTACCACATGGCGAAGACGATGCCGTTGACGTTGAAAAGAGGCATCAAAGGCTTGACCTCGGAGTCGGAAGGTTCAGAGCTCCTGCTAGGGTTCTGTTGCTTGAAGCCTGCACCGCCTTGAGGACCAGCAGTGGCCGGAAGATCTTCATGCGCCTTTGCACGGTTGGAGGCCAAGTGAGCGTAGTAAACCGCTGGGTGGAGGGAAACAGAAGTGGTCGAGCGCATGTATTGGTAGCAGTGCTCGTATATCATGTTCTGGATGAGCTCAGGGCGGTGATTGGTCTCGTCAAGGAGAACCGAGTAATGAACAGGTCGGGAGGTTCCTTGCAAGGCGGTGTGAGAGTACAGATAAAAGTCAAACTCATTGGGAGTGGTGACATCTCTCTCAATCAACATGCCTGGAACTGGGTTGCCCTTGTTGTCGGCGCCATCTCTGTCAGGGAAGCAACGGATATGGTGACGCTTGTTGGCAACGATGACGGTGACTTTACCCTCAAATTTGTGGCCATCCATGCAAGACTCGATGACCTTCTTGATGCAAGGCACTTCTTGATTGAGGACATGCTCGAATTGATTTGTCGACACCCCGTCGCGTATGTAATAGACTTGTTGAGGAGACCGGCCGTTTCCGACCTGAGACATCCACTGACTCACGAGTGGCCGCAAGATGTTGCGCCAATTGGCCTCTGAGATCATTTCGACTCGATGGCCGTTGGTCTGGCATGCAGCTGCGTACCGTCCACCAAAGCGATCGTATGACACAGTCACAGCCGCCATCGACGCCTGTTGACTGCCAGGTGATGCGTGCGAGACATCAGCCCCAATGATCATTGTCGGCACCGAGAACGTTTTGAAACCACTCGTCGCGTGAGGTACGGCTTGAGATGTAGTGCCGCCCAACTTGGCATTGACTTTCATCAATACATTCGAGTAGTATTGAGGGTTGCCCTTGAGGACCTGTTGGATCTGCATCACCTGAGAGACCACACCGAAGCGACAGTCGCAAGACTTCTTGATACGAAGATAATGGAAAGAATTGCGATCTTGAACCAAGAAAATGAGAAGCTGCGGTCGACGGTTGAACTTGTTGCCGGTTGCTTGATGCAAGGCTGCAACGGCAGCACCAACATCTTGGTTGAGAGTTGTGACATATGGCGGCGCATTCGCAACTTGTCCCCCGTGGTTTCGATAAGCGCGTGCAAAGTCGAGAACAAACTGGTCAATCTGAGCTCGATCGGGTCTGAGACGACCGGTGAAGACGCCAACACCCCAAGAGACAAGCTCCTGCGGATTGCGACTGAGGAAAGTCTTTGCTTTGAGGTCCCAACGGCCTCGCGTACCGACCTGCTCAGTCTTGTTGCCGAACTTGATGCCAGGAGCTGGGAGGATACGTGCATTGGTCTTGATGGGCGTCGGGGTGATGCGAAGGCCGTAATTCTTCAAGTATTCATCACCATCCCAGTTCAGCCAGCTCTTGCCTTCGTTGATGGCATTGAGTCGGACATTCGGGGGCGAGACGGCAAATTTGATCATGTTGGCAGTCTGGATCTCATCCAATTTCGCACCGTATCGTTGACCCTCAAGGATGGTGAGGAACTCCATGGGGTATTTGACACCCTTCTTGGTCATCTCTACCAGGCGGAGTCTGGGGTACTGCAAGGTGATGTTGTACTTGCGCTTGAAGTAGTGCGCCACGGATACCATCTCACCAGTGGGTTTCTTCGTGGCCGGATCTTTCCATTCAAGCATCTCCTCGTTGGCATTGTTGATATCGAAACGAAAGATCTTCCACTCCTTGGCAGGGAGTGGATTGCCCTTGTAAACAGCCTTGACCTCGACCCCCTTGAAGGCTCTCTCCAGAGTCTTGTGGAAGTCGCTGGATTCTCGATGGCCATTGTTCTGATAAGGCTCCATTCTATTTGCGACATCATTGATGTCCTTGATCTCTCGCCACTTGGAGACAATGGCCGACGTCAAAGTAGTCGGTCTCCAGAAGCAAGTGTTGGCGACATCGACGTTGATGATCATTTTCTTGCCTTCGGCAAGACGCATCGACTGGTAGACACCGCGCCAGACCTCGATGCCACCACCCAGATCGGCACGTTGACCTTGACGCCTAAAGAGGCTGCGACGGATCGTGATGAATTGGGGCGACGAAGACGGACTTTCTCGGAGAAGATGGTCCAAGAAAATGATGCACTCTGCGACATTCTGGTTCATCTGGATCCGGCCGTCAAGGAATTGCTGGACGAGACTGATATCAAGTGAACGAGTACGCTTGATGAGAAGACGAAAAGCATTTCTCCCTTCTCGAGAAGGACGGCCTTCTTCCTGATCGAGATCCACCATGAGGCGAAGTTCGTTGTAGTCACGCAAGGACCACGCGAGACGATTGCCATCGAAGATGACGGGCGGCCCAGTAGCGTTCTTTCGAGCTTGTGAATTCCACACTTTGCGGTTGATAACTCGCTTCTCCTGGCCATTGCCGACGATGACATCGTATTGGAAGACTTTCACCGTGGGATACTGTTGGACTTTGAATGCGTTGAGGTTGGCCGTAACCGCTTTCCCTGTTTGGTTGTACCCTGGACGCTTTGCATATTGGGTGGGAAGGCTGTACTGTTTGCGATAGTCAGCACGAGGCCCGACAATGTCAGGGACGAGGTGCATATAGCGCTCTAATCCTTCGGGGACGTAGGGAATTTGGAGCACTCCAGACGCCAAGGAAGACATAGAAGAGTTGCGCTGTGGCCGGGATAGGGAAGCAATTCCTGGGCCGCCATTTTGGCGAGATGGAGATGTAGGGGAGGGGCTGCCTTGCGGACGAGAGGGCGATCCGGGACCAGAGCCGCTTGGCAAACAAGATGGGGAGGAGGGAGCAGGGTTACCTGCACCAGAACCAGAGCCTCTGGAAGCAGGAGGTGCCATGTTTGCAGGGAAGGGAAGAAGATGTGTGAGGTGAGAAAAGAGAAAGTCAAGGTGCAAAGGCGAAGGGAGGTATAAATAGTCCAGGGCAAGAACTGCTCCCGATCTATGTCGTGTGAAGGGATTGTAGACACAATGGGAAGCGTCACTGCGCAAGACAATGCGGGTGAATCGCAGGAGAATGTACAATGCAGACAATAAGAGAGGCATTGAAGAGATTCGCAATGAAGATTAAATAGGAGTGGTGACACGCAGTGTACTGGGAGCAACGGGGTGAATGGCGTCAAAAGGGGAAGTGACATTGAACGGCCGATCTGAATGGCCCGACACTCTGCAAGGCAGTGAAATAGGGGATGAATGTCTTTGACAAAATAAAGGGTGAGAGTGCATAGCAAGCGGGTGAAGCAGTAGTCGGTGTAGGGGAGCAAACCAAGAAAGACATTTACTTACAAGCTGATCAATGTTGTAGAACGATGCTGGAAGATCGACATTTCGCATCTGATCCGTGAATCTGGACGGTCTGTCTTGGGCTGGATCACCTCGAAGGACAGTCCCTTGAGTTTGTGGAGGTGCACCGCCCGACTGACTGCTGCGACGAGGTTGAGACTGCTCTTCGGGGCCGCCTTGCGAGACACTGGGACTACCAGCACCTGACGCGACAGAGGGAGCTGTGGAGGCCGCACCGCGACCTGCAGAACCGGGACCAGACTGAGAGGCGCTTCCTCGAGAAGCAGGCCCGTCAAAGCCGCCGCCAGGAACTTGAAGTCGATCGCCACGACGAGAAGAGGTCTCGGCCGGCTGCTGACCCCTAGTCGCGCGACCGGCACCTCGCTTGCGGGCTGCTCCAGACATGTTGACTCAAAGATCTCTAGGCTGTTCGTTGTGGTGTCAGTGCTTGAGCTTGCGAAGGGTATAATCAGGGTCAACCTGACTAGAATGTGGTGTGGTTGATCACACTGAGAGAAGAGAGAAACTGAGAAGATGAGGATAACAAGGTAAGACTTGTTGGGTGTATAGAGATGATGGATGAGATGGACCGACGATATGTTGGGAGGGGAAAGGTTCCTGACTGAGGTTTTGCACGAGGAAGTGAATGCGCGTTGTTTGTTGTGGTGTTTGTTTTGGAGGTGAGGCAGAGAACAGAGGAGAAGCAGAACCACTGAGATGATAAGAGATGATAGGGGCAGGTACAGCTTCTTGTTTTAGACGGGGTCTCGGATTCAAGCTGACTGCTGCAGGAAGGTGCAAGAGGTGCGAGCGATGAGAAAAGAAAGTGTAGTGGCTCACCTTCGCCTGATTGAGAGGTTGGTGGGTGAGAGAAACGGTGTTGACAAGCGATTGAAGCTGCCTCTCGAGAGGTATCCTGCACCCGCTCAAGAGGAGAGGACCTTGGGAAAAAAAGATGAGATTAATGATGAGCGAGGACGACAAGGACAGAGAAGAAGAAGATGAAGAAGGGAATGAATGAGGTGGGTAATGGAGAAAGGAAATAAGTGGTTGCAGGGAGGAGAAGAAGGAGATATTTGTAGCCTGAGGCTCAATCACATGTTCCTTGTCTACAGGACAACCACGCGGCCTTGTCACTTGCCAATATCTCAGAGGCGTGAAGATGTGAGCAGAGCAGAGACCAAAGTGAACCAACTGTCTCTCAGCCTCATCTCACCACTCTTTCTCTCAGAGCCAGCCAGCGTCATTGCAAACTTCTCGGGGGTGAGGCTGGCAATTCCCCTCTTTCAATTCAACTATTCGACCATTCTACATCCAACCTAGCCTCTGCGGTTGCAGCCTTCCGTACCAATGGGGTCTGCATGACCTTTGCTCGTCTTCCGCGAAATCTACCCTGTCCATTGGATCGAACTAAACACACCAGACTAAACCCTGGAAGCACCTCGCCCAAACACCCTCCCCTCAGGCATCCGTCCGCTTACAGTCGAGAACGGCTCATGCAAAGCTGCCCTATCGTACGGTATACGACGAAGTCACAGGACAGGGGTTAGATGACGCAGACAAAGAGCGGGAACACCACAAGCAGGCAAAACACTCAAGATATTATTTTGTTGAGATTCCAATGCTGGCTCAACCGCAGCTGACTTTTTGAATCATTGCAAGATCCCAATCAATGAACCTTTCCTGTCCGAGACTCTGTGATAACGTGGACATCTTGCTATCTGTCCCTGACTTGGACCCTATGGCTGCTAAAATGCTGAAAAACATAAAGTGTTGGTTTTACATCATGCACTACCTCCCACGCCAGTCGTCACCCTCCTATACAGTGTCCATCTCGTATCTAAGCGTATCGGAATGGAGCTGGGATCCTTGTCAGTAACATGACTTCGAGAGTGGAGACTATAGCAGCCACTTACCTCCTCCGTACGGACCTTGTGTAACACCAGTCGGCGGTCCGAAGCCTTGTGGCGGGATAGGTACAGGTGGATGTGGTGGATACGCAGGCCAACCTGGCTGGGGTGCCGGGGCTGGAGTCTGGCTGTGTTGGGCAGGGACTGCGCCTGGCGGAGGCAAACGAACATCGCGAATCAACTCCATGATCTTCACGGCATCGAACCTGGTGTCGACATACGTCGAAGCCCTTGGCAGGATGCTCAGAAGGTAAACAACTGCTGGCGGTAGCGGTGGAGGAGCTTGAAACTGTGGCATCCCGACAGGAGGGTTGATCTGGCGCTGCTGTTGCTGTTGCTGCTGTTGTTGATTCATGCGACGACCCGCTGCACCTTTCAAGGGCGACTCGCCACGCGCCAATTTACGTGGACCAACATCTTCAAAATCGTCTGGGAATGGCCGTTTCGGAGAATGGGTTGTGATGGCGTCAATCACCTTTTGAATGGGAGAGTTCACGACTTCAGATACCTCCACAGAGGGCATGACCACGTTTTGCAGAGGCCTCACTTGCTGTGGCGAGATGACGGGATACGTCTTCATAGTGTCAAAAGACGAGGTGTTGTACCGGCTGGAGAAGAGTTTCAGCTGAGGATCTTCAGGGAAGTGCTTCTTCATCCGCTCTTCAAGCGACTGGACCTGAGCCAATTCCCCGTACTTGGATTCGTAGTCGTGCAGGAAAGCAAACAGCGGTTTGGCCTTTGCTGTATACTCAGCGTCGTCGTGGCCCAGAAGTCTCTTGACCGTGGTCTCAAAGACGGCTCGTGCATTCGTGACATCGTTGATGTCAAAGAGGTGTTTCACATACTGAAGCGGGAGGTAGTCGTCTTCAGGAAACAGCTTCATACCACGGTCAAGGATCTTGGTGCCCGTGGGATCCCGGTAGCATTGCCACTCAATCCGAGCAGATTCGACATAAAAGTCGCTCGTAAGCTTGCCTCGCTTGCGCGCCTCGCCAAAGACAGCACGGAAGCCACTAGGTCCTCGTTCTGTTGGTAGGCCTTTTCCCTGCACTCGTCGGGTCGCGCGCATCAGTGCGATCCAGACATGCGAGACCATTCGACTGAGGACATCGGTCTGTGCTTGGGCACTCTTCTTGATCGTCTCAATTTGGCTGTCGAGGGCCGCCTTCTTGGTTGCGACATTGGAAGCATTGATGTCGTCGTCCCCAGAACCATCCCCTCCGTTGCCAGCAGCTGCAAGTTCCGCCTTCTGAATGTCTTGTTTCTCGCGGATCGATACCTTCTTAATCAATTCGTAGAGTGCATCCAACAATTTGTCATATGGCTCTCTTATTTTCTTCATCCGTTCTTTGGCGCCGGGATCTGCACTTTCATCGTTCTGAGTGGACACCTCGATACGGTCTGCCAGTTTAAATGCCAACAGGGGTGACTCCGGGTTGGCCGTAATTCCTTGGTTGAGGAGCTTGGTGCCTTCGGCGTCGAGGCCATTGCTGAAACAGAATTCCACGGCATCATACCACATCTCAGGCCAGAATTCTAGGGCCATGAGTGCTTGTTTGTATGTGAACAAAATCCGGTTCTTGTACAAAGCAGGGTCTTCGTCTTTAAGAACAAGGTTATCGTCTTTCTCCCATTCAATCCACTGCTTCCACAGACCAACTTGATGCATATACTCGGCATAACCCTCAAACCCAGGTGCGGGTGGCAATTGCGGTCTCGAGGTCCTTTTCAGGTCCTTTGTCAAATTCTGCAGCTGGGTGAAGGCCGTCCTGGCGGTCATGTAGACCGGAGACTTCTCTTGAAGATATTTCCGACCCTAGAGAGATTTTAGCATAGTTCCTGAGCCATGGGGTTGCCATTTCAACGAACGTTGATCTTGTTCAGCCCGGTCTCAAACGCATCGTATTCTTTCCAGAGGGGCATGGTTGCTGCGGTAGGAACAGCAATTGCTTTTTGGTATGCCTCTCGCAAAGCGTCGACTTTTGCCCCATCTTGCCAACCGCTGCCACCAACGATTCCCGGGCCAGTCTTGAGGAAGTTAATATAGTCCTGCCATAATTGGCCCGAGTCCTTGTCCATTCCGATAGTCTTGAGTGCAAAGGTGAAGGAGTCGTTGATGATGGTGTACGAGCGAGTGATATCGCCAGTTTGCATGCTGTTCCGTCGGCGGATATAGTTGATGTACAAAGTCCAGAGTTGCACATCAAGCACATCAAGCAACGATCGGTTGAAGAGGGTTTCCATGGCCCGCATTCGATCTTGCTCCTCTTCCCATTTCACATATGCACACCATTGTTCGGCCTGGAATATATTAGTGCACGGCAAACAAATACGAAAGAGAACAAGCACGTACGGCCAGGGGAAAGACTTTGAGATATTGCTCGTACACTCGACGGACATCTTCTTGCTTGTTTCGACTCTTCAATTCGTCGATTAGTTCAAGATATGCATCAATGTCACCACGAGGGTCATCCTTGATGCGATCTTCCAGAATACCAACCACATCATGAGCTAGTCGAGACTTAAGTAAGCCTGGAGCAACAGAGGCATTCACATGCGCGAGGGGTGGAGAGTTCTGAGTCGGAACATCAGGAGCTGAGTGAGAAGGTGTGGCAGTGGCAGCACGCACATCAACACTGGCACCAGAAGGAAGAGTAGTGGAAGAAGAAAGGTCAGCGTCAGCAGGACTACCAGTGGCCTGGACAGGAACAGGAGTGATTCCATTTTCTTGTTCTGGTGACTGGGAAGCTCTATTAAGGGAATTGGAGTTTTGATTTGCAAGGGGAGGAGCAGGTGTCGAGACGTCGAAGTCTAGCCCCACGGACGGATCGTAGACATCAACCTCATCCTTTCCGTCTTGTGTCCCTTCCTCATCTTCAGGATCATCATCAACTTCAAAACCACCCACAATGCGGGGTTTGGACTGCGCAGGCGCGGGTGTAGAAGACTGAGTCATGGCCGGGGTGGCGGATTGAGAAGAGAGCTGGCTGACAGGTTTGGTAGGGAGAGGATGAAGAGCAGATTGAGTTGGAGATAATATTGGATCACGCTGATTATCGACAGGACTCTGCTCTGAGGGAGCGAAGGGTTGCGATAACTGTGCAGCACTTGCGCCTGGCTGATCGGGGGCAGCCGCAGTACCGTTGAAGTATGATGGCAGCGCCGTCGTCTCAGACGATGGTGACGGCGATCCTGTAGCTGAATTTGCCATAACGCCCCGTCTACTCTCTGTGATCGGTAAAGAAACTGAGATCGAAGAAGGGAGGTTGCTATAGAGGCGTCAACATTCATTGTCTGCTAGGCACGCGAGGAGTAAACTCACCTTTTGCGCAACAACAAACTAGAAGAGCCTTTTGAAAGCAGACATCATCATCCTTGTTGTCGACACGGGCAGTTGGCAGAGACGGTCACGAAATGAGAAAAGGTCCTTCGTTGATGGAATTCGTTTCACTTCACGCAAAGCCTAGATTGTTACTGCCGGTGACACAGTGAGCGACGGCGCATGCCCTTGTGGTTGGAATTTGTCACTTGCAAACCCTCGGCGGAAGAACTCAACATTGTTCGGCTAACCTGCTATTGTAGTTGATTGCGGGCAGGCTGCATTTAATTCAAAGCCGACGACGCGACTTTTAACGCGGCCATGGCACTTTCGCGATCTTGGATTCAGTTCTCGCAAACAACTCCTCCGCAACTCCATTACACAGTCAAACAATCCACAAAGTGCTATTCCAGACCATTATCAGAACGTCATTGGGCGCGTTGAATTCGATACACCCACTAAAGCACGTCTGTCGCGCTTGTCGCAATCATGTCGGTGGTTTCCCTGTTGGGCGTCAAAGTCCTGAACAATCCTGCGCCATTCACCGCACCCTACGAATTTGAAATTACGTTCGAATGTCTTGAGCAACTTCGTGAAGGTAAACGCATCTTGGGAGACTTCTTTCTTCATTTCAGATTGACTGACGACTATCTATGTATCATAGACCTAGAGTGGAAACTCACCTATGTCGGCTCTGCTACGTCCGCAGAACACGATCAAGAGCTTGACTCTCTCCTCGTGGGACCCATTCCTATCGGAGTCAACAAATTTATCTTCGAAGCTGATCCTCCGAACCTATCTCGCCTGCCACCATCCGAAATCCTCGGCGTGACAGTGATCCTCCTGACCTGCTCCTATGATGGAAGAGAGTTTGTGCGCGTCGGTTACTACGTCAACAACGAATACGATGACGAGATATTGAATGCCGATCCACCTGCTAAGCCGGTGATTGAAAAGATCCGCCGCAATGTGCTTGCAGAAAAACCCAGGGTCACCAGATTCGCGATCAAGTGGTACGTAAACTTCCTCTAGCTGCAGATTCATACCTAACTTAACTCTACCAACAGGGACTCTGAAGAATCTGCTCCAGCCGAGTATCCTCCCGAGCAGCCTGAAGCTGACACGCTCGATGACGATGGAGCCAACTATGGTGCAGAAGAAGCAGAGATGCAAGCAGCTCTAGAGAAAGAACTGGAAGAGACCGAAGCAAAAATGGCTCGAGAAGACTCGACGAATGCGGACCAAGAAATGACAGACAGCCACAAAGTCAAAGACGAGGAGGAAGAAGCCAGCGAGGCTGAAAGTGAAGATCTTGAGGAGGAAAGCAGTGAGAGCGAGGACGACGAAGAAGATGAGGAGGGTGCAGAAGGTGAAGATGCAGAGATGGGTGAGGGCGATGAGAAACCCACTGCTGCCTCCAACACGACTTCGGCACAAGCGAATGGCGAAAGTAAAGGGACAGAGGCCAAGCCAGAGGTCATGGTTCATTAGAGCCACGTGGAATCACAGTGCACTGGTTTCGAATCCGACAGCAAGGTGTTTGGCGTATGGGTTGGCCCGTCTTCACGGAAAGATGAATCAACGTGCATGCATATTAGATGAGACGAAGAGCATGACTGATGGAGGACATTCTATTGGAACCGGAGTCAAAGACACGATGGTTCAAACAAGGTGGCGGGGACATATGCTTGCCCTGGTGGTACATACAGCGGAGACACGCGTGGGTGATTGATGGAAAGAATCATAATTGACCACAAGTCCTTTTCTGTCCCGAATCACTCTTCGACCTATCGTTCGCCGTCTACACAGGCAGTGTGGCGCATTCAACGACATCGATCCAAACCTTTCTCGACGGTACGTCGCAATAGAACCAGAGGAGACGAGGAGACGAAATAACGAAGAGAGCATCACAGGAAACTACGGTTCTGCCCTTCCACCATCAGCCTTCTCTCCCAAGCGTCAGACTGGTCGAACGATGCTTCGTCCAGCCGGGCCTCGTTCTCGAGTTGTCTTACAAATATCCAAACAGGTTGCGGAATCGGTCGTTCCAAAAGCGTGTCAAATCAAACAGATTGGCTAGCTACATAAGACATTCTCGTGAAGGGGCATCGTAGTAATGAAGAGGAGAGAAAGAGAGGGTCGGACTTGGTGAATTGAGACGTCAATGTCCGTTGAAGTACCTCATGGGACACCACAGCAAGGCGTTGGAAACATCTCCTCGCAACACATATACACACACATGGCGAGATGTAGCAACTCTCACACAGCCGAGTAAACAGCCGTCACATTCCTGCCGCACACCACACGCTGCTCCATTCTCACTTTCCTCCCACTGGTCTTCAGCTGTACATCGTGCATAGGTGTCAAATGCAATCTGTGCTCCTCCCTTCTTCCCATCTCTGCTTCACTAGCCATGTCCAACGGCCGGATATACGTCGGGAGCGGCACATTGTTCCTCTTGCCTGTGCCCAGCTGATAGAATTCGTTTCCTCCCCACCAGAGCACATCGGAGCCCCAGTTGGTGTCGTCCTCTGAAGACTTCTCCGAAGCATCTAGGTAGGTTACGTTGTCGAGCACTGCTGAGGCATGGGTGCTCCCAACGGAGATCTGGGACATTCTGATCGGAACCACCTTTCGGGTCTTTTCATCATACTCAAAGAGGCCCGACAAGGACGGAATACGGGTTGGTGTGCCTTGGATATGGGTCCATTTTCCATTGCCCAAAGTCCCCTTGATGCCCGTGCCACATGCCCATGTGTCGGCGGTGGTCTTGCCCAGAGTTGAGATAGAGCTGGGGTCTTCCTCCGGGCCTGCGACGCGCGTAGCGTCAACGGTAAAGAAACTGTTTGAACCACCAGCCGCGATTGAAGTGACCTTGGACGATTGGTTCGTACCTTGGTACAGACGAGTAGTGGGGAGGAGAGAAGGCGTGTCGACGAAAGGAGCTTCCGGGTTGAAGTCGAAACCAAGTTGGCCGGAAGAGTTATCACCGAATGCAAAGACGCGACCCTCTTTGTCGAGCACAAGAGAGTGGTGATCTCCAGAAGCGAGTTTAGTGATCTCGAAGCCTTTGAGTGTGGTCAGTTCGTGGCACATGTCATAGCGGCCTTCAGGACGAGTGAGCCATGTCACCCCTGGGACGCCCAGCTGTCCACGACTCGGAAAGTCCTCGGTTCCTGAGGCGGCAGAGAAGACTCGTCCTGAATTTGTGAGCAAAAGAACATGCTCAAGGCCACCGCTGATGGCAACGACCCGCTCTCCAACTCTCAGATTCTTGGGCTCGAGCTTCCTGTAGCTGATGGTTGAGGTTGAATTCCAGAACGGGATCCAAGAACTATCGGTTTGTTTGTGTCCACGCTCCTGATCCAGCTTGGATACTGGTATTGAATATACGGTTCCGTTCTTGCTCAGCCCGATGATACGATCTCTTGATATCGCAATGGAGGTCAGATTCTTCCCCTTCAGTGTAACTGTTGGTTGTCGTATGTCCTCCGAGTACTCGATGCCCCATTGTACCAGATCTCCATTCTCCAGAACTGCTGCGCCGAAATTACGGTCAATCTTCAGATCTCGAAGCAGGACATCGTCGAACCAGCTCAGTCTCCGCGGTGTCTTGATGTATGTTTCATCTGAATCTGGGGCCACGACTCGACCAGTATTCGATCCCCACGCATACACGCCAGGGTTCTCCCAGCTCTTCTTGACTTGGAGATGCTGGGAGCTGATGAGGTCCCTATTCTCTTCCTTTGAAACGCCCTTTCTCTTCTTGGATGTTTCGATCACGACCTCCTGGGTTTCGGGGGGTGGAGCTTCTGCCTGCACAGCGTGCACCTGGGTCGTTGTATAGACTAGAGCAACCGTGGCTGCCGCTGCAAATATAGCAGCGGAGGGTCGCTTCCATGCTTGGTGAGTAGCGGCATTGCGTGTGGCCTTTTGGGAGAAGCGTTCCGCCCTCGAGAATGGAGCACGAGACTTCAACTGAGAGAGCGTGACCCGCCGTGGTCGAGTGAAGGTGCGTGCGGCGGCAGCTGGCAGAGTCCTCGAGGACATGGCTGTTCTTGGACGACGGGTGTGCGTACACTATACCTCACATTACCGAGATATAGTTGTTCTCCTGTAGATTTGGAGAGAGTCAGAATGAACCAGATAGTAGAAGGGCTCGTATTCGGAAATGGTGTGCGTCATTGACCGTTCACCACAGCCTCGTCCAAATCCCAAGGAATAATATTGGTCGATTTTTGTTCAGCCTCGTGTTATTCTCCGCCCTTCTCATCTCGAACAGGCCATTCATTTTGTACACCATGGTCCACAGGCAATGAAAAGGCCAACACCATTCCCGTATGGCCAGTCTTGTGAGACTCGTCCAAGGAATTAGCAGTCCGTCACCAACCTAGGTCACTGCCATGACTTTGGAAGAAGGAGAAATCCTGAACGCCGAGGATGATGCCACTCTAGCACAACTCGAGAGCGCAGAAACAGAACTCGAGCTGTTCAAGTTAGCCGGAGATATCGACGAGGTCCTGTTGGACGCAAGTCTCGATGAGTACCAGTGCGTCTTCGGAAGCACTAGATGTTGTGTTATTCTCGCTGAAACATCAGGACAGGCAATATCTCGACCAACTTGACGCTGCCAGCGCTCACCTCGAGACCCTCCTCGCCTCCACCGCTGCCACGCTCGATGAGCTTTCTTCCATCTCTGCTTCCTTCAAGTCCGTCAGCGCTCAAACACAGTCCTTCCAGGCCCAGTCTGCCTCTATCCTCGATGAGCAGCGTAAAAGTGAAGTTGTGGCGCAACAAATCGCCGAGAATCTGCGCTATTATGAGCCGCTCGAACAAATCACCCGTCGTCTCAATGCACCGCAGGCTGGTAGCTTCGTTGGCACCAAGGACTT